GAACAGATGCGGCAGTGCCTCGCCAAGGACTGGGTCAACTCGTCCACCTCGTTCCGCGTTCTCGACGTCAAGACGCAGCGCGCGATTCGCCACTGCTGGCAGTCGTGGCTCAAGGTCGACTGGTCTGTCGAGACTCTGCTTCAACGGCGACAGGCATTTATGCGATCGCACCCGGACCCCGCCATTCGCGATGCCGACCCAACGACGGCCGTCAGCGCTTACATGAACCGTGTGCAGCGGCGCTTCGGTAAATATTTAGGGCCCTCAAGTGCGGCCAGGACGACCTGCAAGGCCGAACGCTTTGCGGAGACCCATGCCTATTTCACCAGTGCTTCGCAACGGTCGCAGCTTGTTGTCAATTCGACTATGCTTCTCGTCCGCACAGACGGTTCGACCTACTATGCCATCGATCCAAAGCTCTTCCCGTTCAACTCCATGGATATTTATGTCAACGAGGATTTTCTTGCGCCTGAGATGCTGGCTCAGGTTAATAGTTTCCTAGCGACTTTCGGCAGGGCCTGCGATCCCAACTCCGACTTTTCAGCCTCACTCACGTTCGCGGCTGGCCACGCGGTGACGCTCATGGAGGAGCTTGCGGCCGATCCCACCAAGCGCTTCGACGTCATCGACACGGCGAACCTGCAGGATTCGGTCGGCCTTCTCAGCCTTCTCGTCCACGGCTCGGTCCTCCTCAAGCCGGGCAACTACCCGTCGAAACAGTCGCTGATCCTCACGTACACGACTCGCATGGACCGGGTCTCGGATTCGCGCAACGAATACCTTGTGCAGACCACGCGCCTTCCAGTCGCGACGCACGCGACGCTCCTCGGGCTTGGGCTTCTCGAACATCCCAGCGACGACCACTGGACCAATCTCCTGCAGCCCTTTGCGTGGTCCGTCGACCAAATTGAACATCAGCGCTACCAATACTTTACCTTTTACCGGCTCCCCACGCCGTCCTTCCCCGTTGCTCTCGAAGGCTCGACGCTTCTTCGAACCGCGCTCACTGCCCTTGACAAACGGGACAAATATTCCTCTGATAGTATGTCGCTCACACGGCATCTGACGGGTCTCGTTGCTAACAACTATGTTGCTGCGCCTTGCGTGGTTTGGGTGTAGATTCCGTGCTCCAAACGCGAACGAAATGTTCTCTCGCGCTGATTCCCAAGCTCATCGGGTTTGCGTTTGCATCTGGCCGGCTTACTTGGTTGGGCGCAGCTCCCCTCGACTCGACCACTTGGCCATTCATGGAGGGCTTCGAGTTGTTTCTGCATTCCTCGTTCTACGCGGACGCCTACGGCTTCAATGCACACCTGGGCAAGGGAGTTGTTGGCTCGCCCGACCACTTATGCCGACTCGAGCTGACGATCAAAAGCGGCGCTTTGCCGTTGTCGCGTCGGGTTGCTTCAGCCCTCTCACCGCCTTGGTACCTGGCCATGGCGATCAAGGTTCCAAGTAACTCGGGACCGGACTTCCACCGCTTAGATGGACTTGTTGTTGAGGAAGTTCCGGACGATCCGAGCCAGCTGCGCGTTGCCGCGTACCTCTCATCCAAAACGCTCAAGTCAATGCACAGCCTGGCCACAGTTGCCGTGTATCGCGAGCGCGTGACATGGCGCGGGGGCGAGCTTGGATCGGACGGGCAGCGAACTGGTCTCATTCCTGACGTGGAACGCGAACTCGTCAGCGGCAAGCGCGTGATGCTCAACTCGATCGCCGTGACCCGCGTCCCCGCCGACCACTTGCACGCCGCATTCCGCGGCGTCATTCAATTGCGAATGCCGGCGATTTCTCGTGACTGTTTGCTTCCAGTGATTCACGCTTTTGATCTCAACACTTGTATCAAGGTTGATCTCGAGCTTCCGCCTGGTACGGGGTCAGAGGCGGTTTGTTATGGTTTTACCCGTGGCACTGTGACAGTTTTTCTTCACGGCGTCGCTCAGACCGTGCGGCTACCTTCGCATGTTCAGGTCGACAAGGTGCCGATCTCATATGCGCTGAGTCGCGTCCGGCTGATTCTGCACCGCGTTCTTGTCCCAGCTCACAAGCAGCTCGGACTTGCACGCCCGCACGCGCTTGTGGGTCAGCGCACGGTGTACCCGCTGACTTCGACCCGCATGCAAATGGCGATTGATCGCGTCCTCGCGCTGCGACCTGATATGCAGGCTGATGGCCCATTCTACGCACCAAAGATCATCCTCGGCACTTTTCAAATGATCTTCCAGTTCGCGTATGACGTGTCGCTCATGATTGTCACGTCCGACGACGGGATTTTGGGCCTACTTGTGCTTGACCAGTACTCCCTGGTCCCGCCCACGGGTCCCGGCTTTGACGCGACGCCTGCCATCGACTGCTTTTGGGTGTACGACCACCGCCGCGACCCCGACGATCCGCACGACCCGGCTCTCTCGGCCCTCTTTGAAATGGCAGTCGAGGATTGCGCTGGGCTTGGCTTCAAAACGGGCGCGCTCTTCATGTCCAGTAACCGTGACTTTGACCTGTTTGTGGACGCAATGCGGGAGGAGGGTCTGGAGCGCGATACGGAGGTCCCCATGATGTACCCGCATTTCAGTCCCAGCATGCACGCCAAGCTTCGCCCGTACATGCACTGGGCGCTGGTTTTGCCGTGGTTCCCTTGGGCTCCACAGCTGTCCATCCCGTAAGCACACGAGTTCCAGTTGTTTTGTTCTTCTAGTTTTTTTTTTTTGTTGAATTGTAATCGTAGTTTATATTTGTCGCTACTTTTGTTGCCGCTGAGCTCCGCCAAACGACACCTCGAGCGCCTCGGCGCGGTCGCGGAAGAGCGGGCACATGGCGGGCACGACGCGGACGGGCAACACGCACGAGAAGACGTCGACGTCAACCTGCGGCTCGCCGACGAGACACGCGGACCGCTCGTTGGCCGCGGAGAGCTTGAACTGCGACCGGTCGAGGTGCACGCGCGTGACGAGCTCGACGCGGAGGTGGTAGTTGAGGGAGACTACACCCGCGCGCGTAGATGATGTTGGGTGAGTGGAAACGCACGCGCGATGGAAGCGAGTGCGAGCGTACCGCCAGTGGTCGCGAGTGTCGGCGACACGGACTCAGGGACCACAAGCTCGAACGGTAGCACCGCGAGCGACGTGACGTTCTCGTGCACGTGCGAAATGAGCTTGGTGGTCAGCGACTTGATCTGCTCGGGCGTGCGCGCGGCAACTGAGGACTCGACAAATTCGGACGACTCGAGAAAAATGGAGACCTAGCAGCGTGCGAAGTGTCAGTCACGCGTGATTCGGAGCTCGTGAAGCAGCGAACCGTACCCGATGTGTCGCAATCGCCGCGTCCCGAAAGTCCACGACCCCCGTCAGCGTGTCGCCGAGTCGGAACAGCGTGCGGCGCAGCTTGAGCTTGGCGACGCGGCCGTCCTCGCGAGCAATATCGAAAACGACTACACGTTGGCGCTCGAGCGGTTAGTGTGCCTTCAACGAAGCGAACTGCTACAGGAACGCGTACCGCTCGGCGAGCGAAGCACGAGCTCGTTGACCTTGCGCATCCAGCCGCCGTTGACGAAACGATCGACAAAGTCACCGCCGCTGATCCTGCTCGCGCCGCCGTCGTGCAAGTCCTCGTCGTCGTCGGGATCAATGGCGCAGGCATCGTCGAGCGACTTGAGAAAATCGACAATCTCCTCGTGACTGCGCGATGCGACGATCCCGGTCCGCGCGGGCGGCTCGGTGTCGCCGCCCTTGCCCGACGGACCGTCGGTGACTTTGGCGACGTCGCGAACCTGGACGACGGGCGCGAGCAGGTCGTAGCACGGCGCATGCCCGTCGTCCTCGAGCGCGGGGAACAGGCGGAACGGCGCCTGCACCGTGACGGGCGGGGTGGTGGGTGCGGCGACGACCTGGGCAACCGCGCGGTACGAGACGCGGAGCGCGCGGCCGCCGCGAAATGTGGGCGGGAGCTCGAGCGGGAGCAGGCACGAGTACGTGTAGCTCTTGGACTCGCCCGGCGCGAGCGTCAGGTTGACAAAGAGGACGGATTTCGCAGACACGAAGACGGGGTACTCTGGCGGAATCGGTGCAGCAGTCGAGTGAGGTTCGAGGGCGTGCACGATAGTGCACCGAGTAGGTCATACCGTTTGGAGTAAACAAGGTGCCGAGTGTGGCGGCGTGCTTGCGCACCGACTGCAGCAGCGTGGGCTGAACAAACTGCGGGTCGATGGCGAACGCGCCGAGCAGCTGGACGCTGCCGAGGAACATGGTCACCGGTCCCGCATGCCTTGGCCGCGAAAAGGCCTTATTCGAAGATGAGTCGGACGAGACACCTGAGCCGGAAAGGGAGACCCTCCGCGACGAGGCGAGCGAGAAGAGCGAGCCCACGTCGGACAGGGGCATCGACGAAGTGGGCGAGCCCGACGTCGCGTAGGCGTTGCTGGACTGCGAACCGAACAGCGCGGTTGCGCTCGAGCTGCCCGTTGGGCTCACAACGTTGGCCTGCAGCGGCGCCGCACCGAGTCCCGGCCCCGCGTCGATCCGCGACTGGCTTGACGCGCTGCCAGCCACGGACGACTGAGAGCCATAGCCGTAGCCGTCGATTGCATCGGGTAGCGGGTTCGTCACGGTCACGGTCAGCGCGAGCTTCTCGCCCGCGAAGAAGACGCCGCGCTGGTCGAGGGTGACTGTCACGCGCAGCGGCATGGCTAGATGTCGTAGCCCAAAGGCAGATGCATCAAGTTTCGTAGGTGCGCAAGGGCGTTGGACCAGCAGGACGAGAGAGTGAGGTTCGGCAGCTGTGGCGGCCCGGGCGGCCCAGCGCGAGCTCTGGACGCGTCCGCATGGCACCGCCCGGTCACGTTTGGAGCAAAGTTGGCGAACGAGGACGCGGGGCGGACGTGGGGCGGCGCCAGCGTCGCTCCACGTCCGATTGGTCGTGTATGAAGATGGAGAGGCCCTTTCTTGACCTAACGCAGTCCTTTTGGACGCAAAAACGGAAGCGAGGGAGAGCTATAGGACGGAAAAGGGGACAGCCGGGGTTCGAACCCGGGGTCTTCTGCACCCAAAGCAGACGCGGTACCGCTTCGCCACAGTCCCTTGCCCCTTGCACCACAAACATCGTGTCCCATCGTTCAATCTGTTGCCTTGAATCACCTCTCAAGTGCCGAGGAGCGCTGAAACTGACGCGATCATGGCAAGGATCACTCGCGGACCGGACCCCTTGCGTCTGCCTCTCGCTCACGCCGTGCTCGGCTGCCGATCCACATCACATCCCTAGTGCGAGATGGACGACTTCTGAAGAGTACATGTCAGCGCTCTCCCGAGTCAGCTGTAGGGGTTGGAGGTGCTCGTTGATGCGGTGCCGCGCAGCACAAGCACTCGCGCGACTCGCGACTCGCGACGCGACGAAGCCGCCGGGGTGGTCGTCACTCCTGGCCGCCGTTGACCGAAACTTGAACCTGCCCGCCTCATTGGTCCCGACTCTCGTCGAGCGGTTGACCGGATTCTACTTTGTCGCCATGGACCGCCAAGATAATCGGTTCGAGCGACGTTGGTGATTGCGCTCATTGCTGCAAGAGTGTGGGGGAGACGAAAATGACGCCTTGCTGTGGCGCAACGCGTCGCGGCTGCGCCTCAGTCGCGTCTCACGTCGCACTTTCCCACGCGCGCGGGCCGCTCGGCCGGACGCGTCGCGTCCCTATCGCACGCACTCTCCGCAACCAATACACCGCCCGACTGGATACGAGCAGCACACTTGCAGCACTGACTACCATGAAGCATAAACCCGGCGGCGGCGGCGACCGCAAGCGCAAATCGCTCCGCGACATGGCGCGGGACGCCTGGCAACGCGTCACTTCGCGGCGTCCCGCGTCTTCGTCTTCCTCGGCGTCTCCCTCTTCTCTTCCGGCCGAAGAAACAAATGTATCAACTCCGACCACGCGAGCTCTTGATACGAACGTGGACCAGGATCATGCGGCCCAAGTGGATTGCGCGGCTCCATCCTTTGCATCGAACCAGGTCCCGACGACGGCTCAATTCGGGCACGCCGGCTCTCATTCATCTCAAATCGCTGGTCCAGGCGCTCAGCCTCCTACCTTGCCGCGTCCCGAGCGGAAGCAGTATTTTCTCGCACCCCGGGACCCTGCTGCACCCGATCCGATGCCAATGCTCTCATGCCGGCCTGAACCTCCGTCGTCGGGCGGCTCCATGATCCCCACGCACCTCACAACAGGCGTTTCTTTCAATAATCTCAAGTTTAACAAACCGCGCGCGAGCTCTCCGCCTGCTCCCCCGCCTCCGCCGCCTGGTGCTCTCTGTCGCATCGTCAACAAGGACGACATCCTCAAGGACAGCCTCGACCCGCTCGGCCAGCAAATCGGGCCACCGACGGAGCAGTCCTCGCTTCTCTTCTCGCAGATCCCGGACGACATCATGCTCGACATACTTGGACTTCTCATCTCGCCCGCTCACGGTTCGAAATACTTGCGCTCTATGCCCAAACCGCTGATCGGATTCGCCAATGCCTCGCGTCACACCTACCGCCTTGCCACTGAGGCGTATGCCTCGCGTCGTGGTCTCTTCCTTGGCGGCAAACTCACATCCGATACAGCTGGGTCAGCTCCACCGGTCCTCGAGCTTCTCGCACAACCACCCTTGATGTCGCATCGCGCGGGCGCCCTCATCCTGTATGTTTCGCTCAACAAGGCGACAACCTTTTTCGAGGAGTACGTGCGACTCGACGATATTCAAGTTTGCATCAACGGGGTTCGCGACGTCCGCGTGAGTATCGGCGGAGGCACGGGCGCGGAATTGGCGGGACTGCCGGCCTCTTGGTACACCAACATCGGGCGCAGCCTTGGCCGCGCCGTTCTCAAACGGACGTCTAACCTGCTCAACGGAGAACCGTTCTCGCTCCGGTTTTGGGCCCATAGTCCACTGGCGTGCAAAAACGCCGGTCACGTCTTTGACGGCTTCGCACAAGAAGTCCCCGCGAACTTGCTTTGTTCACTCGCTGTCTCGTTTCTGGACTCGAAAGTCGGATTGACCCGGTTGCTCTCATTTGACCTCTCTAATTTCCAGGCTCTCACCCGCATGTCGTACACGGCCGCTACGATAACGGCCACCGTCCTCGCGAACATACTGACTCTTCCACGCCTTGCCGAGCTGCACGTTGCCGCTCTTCCCGTGGCTGACCTTGAGCACAACGCTGCGGTCCTTGGGGACGCACCATCATCGCCAAAGTCACTTCGCTACTTCCGGCTCACCATGGTGATGAACAACCACTCGTTTGGATTACAAAGCGAGCGCTTTTCTCACGCCCCGGACGCTTGGTTCTGCGTGCTTGCTCGGGCCCAGCCAATCTCGTACACCATCTTGACGGATTCCGAGGACGCCAACCTCGTCCTTGCACACATCGGGGCCATCAATGCCGCGCGGCTAACGCAGCTCATGGTGCATTCGTCGATCCCCGGATTCAACACGCCAGCCGTGCTCTCAGCGCTCCCGCCTTCAGTCCTTGCGCTTGATTTTGGCGTTGATGAACTCAACGATCGTCGCATACCTGTCGTCGCGCCGCGGACTCCGAGCTCGCCCAACTCCTGCATCACCTTTGTCGAGACCAGCGAGGCAGCGTGGTTGGCCATGATTCGTTGCGGTGTCACTAAGTGGACGCCGCGCCTCCAAGTCATCCGCGTCAACGTTTCCAGTCCTAACGGACTCGCCGTGCTTCTCATTCTCGACTCGTTCACGAAACACGTCGCTGGAACGAGCTGGACGCGCTTCGAGGTGCTCTTTGGCCAGACTTTCCCGTCGGCGGACTTGGGTGTGGCCGAGTTTCTCGCATTGCTCCCGGCCAAGTGTTCCCGCTGGTCGGGTCGCGTGCTGCACATCCGCGGGCGCGAGTCGAAGCGCGTCGTCTTGACTCGGGGTACGGCGTGAACGAGCGGGCCCGGCTTCGACAATTTGTGGTGGTGGTGGTGGTGGTGGTGGTGGTGGTGTAGTTTCAGTTGTGCTGATAAAACCGACTTTGCTGAGCGACATGTGTGGTGCGCCTGACGGGCGATCCTAACTTCGCTGAGATGCCTGCGAAGGTCGTTCGGGGTGCCGCGTCTTTTAATCAGAGCTTTCTCGATTCACACGGTGTACGCCTCGATTACAATTTCCCTCTCTTTTTACTGGATAACACGTCCCCACTGTGCTTTCCGGCCAGGCGAAAGACGTGTTCGAATATCATGTGACTATCATGCTGTGGCGCAGCGCGTCCCGCGCGCGTCGTTGAGGGTGTCCCCACGAGCTCGTTAAGAGCTTCGGTGGCCATTTAAGCATCTCCGCCGCTTGATGCGCACCAAACTCGTTCCATTCGACGCGACGACGTGCACGGAAGTACGCGACTGCGACTGCGACTGCGACTGACCGCCTCTTCGTTTCGGGGCCCAAAGTCGAGGGACCCCCGACCTTGTGCATGTATCTATTGGCGAATCACTTGAGAGTTACACGAAACGTGTTGGTCGACATGTGGCTCACCTATAACGGAATGAGTCTTCAAGTAGAATGAAATAAGACTTAGAGTTCAAACGAAACGAGTCTTTGAGTTCGGACGAACCAAGTCTTCAAATTGGAGCTTACTCTCAGGAAGCAGGTCAAAAGGATTAAAGAACGTTAACCCGTTATGAGTGAACCGTTGGTGCTGTTGTACTCTGGTGTTACCGCCGTCCTTGGCCGCGACTTCGTTGTGCTTGGTGTCAAAGAGGCTCACGCTTTCGTCGGTACGCGCAAGGTCCCATCGCATCGCGACCGTAAAGTCGGGGAGCGCCGCGATGAACGTCGGGTCGGGCTTTTTCTTGCATGGTGGCGCGTCAAGGCTGCGACGAACTTAGCCAACGGATCGTCGTGACCCTCAGTGTCCCTGCGCATCAGCACGGCGCACATGCGCGGCGAGCGGGCTCAGTGCCACACGCATACGGAGGCGACGGGGACAAGGCGGAAACGGTACAACGCGATGCGCCAGTGCGCGACATCGCGCACCTTGACATCGGCGGCAAGCCATGAGTCGAGGAAGATGTGTTTGCCTGGGTGCCGACTTTCTGCCAACAACTTGACCAAGTTAGCGGATGGAATGCACCTGCGTTAACACAATTAGGTAACGCTATGATTTGTTGTCGATGTAACCCGAGCCGGTTGTGCCCGTTGGTCGGCGGTCTTCGAGGCGGAAGCGGCTGTGGCTCAGCCGACGCGTCGTTCATCTCACCCCTCCCCTCTCACACAGGCACCAAGTCACAGAACACGGAAAATGCATTCTACAGGAGACTAATAAACGAACAAAAAACTTGCGCGCCTCGCGCGCGCCGTCGCCGGGAAACGCCAAGTGTAGGAAAAAGGTGCGATGCCCAAGTATACGACTGGACAAATTGATGAGTGGCGGCAACGGCGATGCCGCCGCGGGATGACGTTTCCCGTTCTAACGCGGGCGGGTGAGCGGGAAGAGGACGGTGATGAGATGCGAGGTGGTGATTAATGTAGGTACACGGTACGATGATGAGGGGCACGGAAGAATCAAAAACACAGGAGAGGGAGCGGAGGGAGCGGGCGGCGGGCGGAGTAGCACACACGCGACCAGCCAGCCGACCGAAATCTAGCGCCGGATCAGGCTGACGAGCCCGACCAAGCTGAGCGTGACGAGGGCGCCCATGCCGACGAGGACCACGGGGTGCTCGAGCGGCTTGTCGCTGCTGAGGAAGTTGTCGAGCCACGTCATGGGCTTGGGCCCGGCCGCGGCGGCCGCAACCGCTCCTGGTGCTGCTGGCTGCACCTCGCCAGCGCCGGCCACGGCGCCGTACCCGACCACGTCGCCGACAGTCGCTGCCGTTGCGGACCGTTCGCGTGGTGCGGAGGCGGACGCGGGCGCGGACGCAGAGCCGTGCGAGAGGTTGGACCCGGGCGACGCCTGCATGGCGCGGGCGAGGTCGGCGCTGTTGCCCTGGTACAGCTCGGTAGCGGTATCGTCGTGGCCGTTGACGCCCGTCATGCCCGAGGTGCGTCGGCGCGGAAACTGCGCGGGTTCGGCGCCCGAGGACACGCCGTTGATCTTGAGCAGGATG